GTCCCCTTTCTCTGATGAAGATAGAAGTTCACTTTAGTTTTCATGATGCAGACCTGGAAAGATTCTAGATAACCTCCCTAGCCTGAAGTTCTCATACTATCCCCAAGAAGGGCTCAAGGTCAGACAATGAAGAGAGTCACCTTACGAGAGGGAAGAAAAGACAGGTGTTAACTCATGATGATAATTAGAAAGATACAAAGTTTACATCTAGAAGATTATTTCTGTAAAAAATAAGAAAACATTTTTGCATTATTTTCAGAGTAAACTAGAGTTGTTTTCAATAAAAAATACATTTTTTATTTAAAGGAAAGATAGCAGATAGAAAATTATATTAGATTCTTTTGCTATTAACAATGCCTATACTACAAACCTAAGGATTGCTATCACAAAACTAAATCATCCACCACTCTTGCTGCAGGATGAAGTTTTAAAGGAATGAATCCAGACAGCTTAAATCTATAAAGTATTGGTTGCATGATAATTAGGATATGAGAAAAGAATCTTGTTTTATGTATGGGTTAAGAATAAGGAGAACTTAAAGAATTATTCCAGAGATGATGAAAGTGGGTGACAAGAATCCCATAGCTATGTGTTTTCAAATACTTAGGTGTTAATCTGAGGCCTAACTCCCCTAATGTTGTCACTCTGATGACTTTTGCTAGGATTTTAGTTTTTAAGAAAATGAAATATGTCTGAACCTTGTGGGTGAAAACTAAGGCAAATGGGTATGTGCAGATTTACTATTGAGTTGGAAACAGTTTTTACTGCTTTAAGATACTTTCAATGAAGTTTGAAGGTAGTATTCTGAAAACCCTACAAACAGTCATGTTTTAGTAAATTTCTGCAATTATAATAAAACCTTAATGAAAGAAATAGCACAACATGAAATGGTGTGACTACATTAGACGCAAACTGTGCTTGTCATGCATTATAAAAAAAAAAACCACAAAAAACTTATTTAAGCTACCACTTTAAATGCTATTTGGTGATTATGTTTCTCAACATACTGTTGTAATTAAGAGTGTTCTTTTACTGGCACTAGATTGGAGAGATGATATGTTTATTTGATCAGTTTGTCCAATGCAATGCATTTCACTTGGAACTGAGAGGCTTAAATGACAAAGCTTAACAGCTTGAAGGAGAAGGAGTAAATGGAAGGCTGTTGAATATTTACTCTGTGTTAGACATTTTCTAGTTTCTTTACATGTTCTCACAGTTCATCCGCTGTGTACCACAGCCTTTTAGTCAGAGACCAGGAAATAAATTGAAGGAGAAAATTGCCCAAATTCACAAATTTGCTAAGGGGTAAGGACAGAAATCTGACCACTAGGCCCCTTCTCTTTTCATTAGAGGATGCAAACTACATATTGAAATTATGAACCTATCCTCATGGCTATAATTCATTTCCTTAGAAAACTGAGTTAAGGGGGGAGATTCATGAAGTCACTAAAATAAGCAAATTGGGTTCCAGAATATCTCTAAACCAAAGCTTGAAGGGCTAATGTTCTTCCCAAAAGAAACATGGTTTTAGATGCAACTTATACTGTTTATGAAAGAAAGCTGAAAAAGAAAGATCTATTCATGCTTAGGATAGGGGAGGAGCTTAATAGAACCTTAAATTATTGTCTGAAAATTTGACCCCAAAACTATCTTTGTGATTCAGTAGATATGTAGCTCCAAGAAAGATTTTTTAATCTCGCTGAGCTTAAATTTTCTTCATTTATTTTATCATGACATAAAGAGAGTAAAAAAGAAATGAAGAATGTTTTTAGCCTTAAAATATCATAAAACATTATTTATATTTAATAGTTCATTTCTTGTATATGAACTAATCTAGCATAAGCCATTAAAAAGATGTTTAAATCTGTAGAGGTAATTCTTTAGTCTTTTTGGCATGTTTTGTAGTGGGAAGAGATGTCTTCTCCTCTATTAATAAGTCCATTTGAAAGATAAGTGCTAGAAAAAGATGCTAGGTAGAACTATTACTCATTCTCCATCTCCTCTTTAAGAATTACTGGTCTCCTTCCCCTGCTCGGTTTAAAAAGGATAGGGAAGATCATGATGGGTTACAAAATCCCTTTTCTATGGTGGATGATGTATTTAAACTTAATTAAAATTATTTCAAAACCAATATCTAACTGGTAAGATCCAGCAATTGTGGTACCAGAATGTCAACAGGAGCCCTAATATATTCAGGGAGGATGTGACTACCCTATGCAACAACAACCTTAAAGATTGGAAATCTTGCAATTTCCTGTAATAGAAAGGTTTTATCTTTCATAAGCTGAAAGCATTTCTATTTCCTACATTAATCTGTTTTTATAAATATTTATTTTTTAGTTGTAGTTGGACACAATACCTTTATTTTATTTATTTATTTTTATGTGGTGCTGAGGATCGAACCCAGGGTCTCGCATGTGCTAGGCAAGCGTTCTACCATTGAGCCACAATACCAGCCCCTAAGTTAATCTTTTAATGTAATATGTTCCATAAATTTAGTTTATTACTTTGGTTTCAGAGTAGACAAGCTGGAGATAGAGTGCAAAGTGATTCTAAATCATCAAAAATTTCCACTCTTTTCAGCATCTTAAGTCTCTGGAATTCAGACCTGATATACTTAACCCCAAATTCCTGACATCAAATCCTTTGGCCATTTATTATCAGGACAGAGACCAAAGAAATATAATGATTTGTTGGAAAGACAGATAACTTTTCAGTTTACAGAGTTGGTCTGCGTTTGACATTCAACAGTCAATTATGAGTGGACAATTGCAATAATTAACCAGTTATTTAATTTGACAAGATGTGAATCTTCATTCTTTCCATACAACCCTCCTTCATACATACTTCTGCCTCAAATATCATAATAGCTTTGCTGAGCAATTTTTAAAATAAATTGCTAACGTAGCTGCTTGTGGTTTTCAATTTGGCGGGTTGGACAAAGCCTCAGAATTAACTGAGGAGAGTGTCTCAATTATTAATTTTTAAATATTCTGTGCATTCTTTCATCTGTTGCATGGTTGATTGGCCAAATGACTGGTGGACAAGTGAATTAATTTGTGACTTCAGAACAGCATAGTTAAAATCTACAATTTAAATCTCCTAAATATCCAGACTATTTGGAAATAATACCAAATGGAGCTATTACTAGATAAAAGGAACTTTGTGCATATATGGAGGCAGACATACATGGGAAGTTTCAGGTTATGTTCAACATCTAAAGGAGACCTTGAAATACCCCAGAGTATTGCTGACCTCTACTCTGTATCCTTCTAAAGCTCTCAAATCTGAGATGAGTAAAATTCTTGAAATATATAAAAAGTACCACATAAATATCTATTTGTTAAAATATGGCTTTTGTTTAGATTATTTCAATAAGTAATGTATTCTTTTCAATGATGAGTCTTATTAGAATGGGAGATATATTTCATGCATAGACCTCTCCCTGAGCAGTAAGATGAGTGTCAGTTGGACCTATTTCATTGGCTGAATGAGGGGCATAAACTCATTCCTTATCGCTTTTTAAAAACTGTGAATTGATCAATCGTGGACCTGATGGAAAGTAAATTTACTAAAACTATATTGAAGGTTAACTTAGCATGACTGTGTTTTAGTCCACTGCACTATTTGAATCATTAAATCAGGTTAGCATCTTTTTTTTTTTTTTTTTTTTTTGCATTTTATGATTGGATGGAATTGGCATGTTGTCATTTTCACATCAATCTGAAGAAGTTTCTGGCTGTCATGACAGAACATCTTAACAACTGAAATGCAGGCCGTCATGCCCTAAAATGTTTCTCTCTGATGTTATTGTATATGGTGGTGGTAGTGGGGTAGATGTGGGAAGAGAAAGAAATGTCATATTGCTCAGTTGTGTGGCCCCTTCAGCAAGGAAGAAAGTGGTAAACAGAGTCAGGAGACAGATGATTCCAGGACAGGCAGTGCGGTAAAAGCAACAGACAGACAAGATGATAATGGGGTCTATGGAATACATTCATTCCTAAGTTAGTACAATTGTCGAAGTAAGACAAAAGGTGCTGGTCTAACAGACTGAAACATTAGTCTGCTGAGCAACACGCCCAAGTCTCCACAGAGTAGCATATTTTTATTGCAGTATGACTTTCTTGGGAAATGAACAAAACTTTAAATAAATCACAATTACTTATTGCTTAGTATTTTGGATAATAAATTCTTTAGTTTATCAGTACCTCACGGCCTTCAAATGTGCATTCTTCAAATATTTTCAATTACATATACATTCTTTCTCCTGAACAATAAATTATTCTTTTTTAAAAAAGGAAAAAGTACATAATTTTAAAGCAAAGAAAAACAAGAAAAAACATATATATTGACATTTATCTTAGACTTATATGAAAACAATTCTCTATGTTAGATGCTTAAATATAAATAATAAAGGACATTATGTTATTTACAATGTTACACAGTAAGTTGAGAGAGTAAAAACTGACATTAACTCATAAAGACAATAAATGATTTAATAAAACATCCAAGTAATGTACATATGTATTTACATGTGAACATATAATAGAAATTGTGATATGTGACCATTTCCTTTTTGTCTGCAATGTTTCATGGATCTTTGTGGATAGAAAACTCTGTGGCTTTTGGAATGCAGCCAGTACTAAAAGATAAGACCATGCCTTCCTAATTTTCACCAATGTGAGCCATATACCTTTCAACCTCAGACCAAAAAAAAAAAAGAAAGAAAGAAAAAGAAAAAAAAGGAAAGAAAGAAAGAAATTGCTACTAAGCAAGTTACCCAGGATCAATTCCACCTCCATCAAGAGTCACACTGAAAAAAGAAAGAGATGGCATATTGCTGTTTGGGACACAGTCACCCACATAGAGTACCATTTTGTAGAAAGCAGAAGGCTGTCTACCAGGTATTCTTTGGGAGAAAAAAAAGAGCAGGGGAGAGGTGAGGGAGCGGGAGAGGGAGGGGGAGTGAGAGAGGAAGAGGGGGAGGAAGGGAGGGGAAAGAAGAGAAAACAGTACAGAAAATGAATCTTGAGTGAAAAAAAAAAAGGAGTTTTGTATATACTATATTCCTCTGCATACCCCTTGGTGGGATATGATTCCAGACCCAGGAAAGAAAGTTAATGTCAAACTTCTGGGCCATTTCCACTACTTTAAACCCAAGACAGCTTTCCACATTCTGGGAATATAGGTTTACACTCCTCTGGACTGCCACTGAACTGCCTGAATTTATAAATAGGGATGGTTGAGAGTGATGTGGCACTGAAGTATCAGAAATGTTCCTGTGAACATAAATTGGGTGGCTGTAGCAGGTAGCCCTGAGCGGTCAACTGGCCTCTCTTATTATGGAATACTCTTGTTCCCTGGAGCAAAGGTGGCCTCACCTCACATGAGCCATCTCTATAAGTAACAAAATCAGATTGGAAATAAAATTCCATGTATATTTACAGTTTCAAAATTTGTAGAAATTCTCAAACTGAAGAAATGTGTTATTCATTGTTCTCATCGGAAGATTCTATTTGTTCTTGAAATTTTTCACAATGGGACATCTGAACTCCCTAATGCCCAAAAAATTGGAAACAGAATATGTAAGGTTTCTAAATAACAGTAGGAGTTTCTTTATTGAAGTGTTGAGAAGTGAGTCAAAGCCTTCAAAGGCAATGTTAAAAGAGTTTAGCCAACCTCTTGAAACTGACTTTATCACCGTGCCATGATCTAACTCATTTGAGAAAACTGGGAAATGAGTATGACCTAACAGGGGCTCCCCCATGTAGGTTAAAAAGCAAATGGGCACAATGTTGAGCACAGAGAAAGTGGCATGTGAACAATGGCAGGAAAATTTGAATACCAAATACTAAGACTAACTTCAAGGACCTGCAGACAAGCACCTCTGTGGATTGTAGAAACACATAGGAGTCTAAGGACACTGACTCATGCCTAGCCTACATTTTTCTTCTAAGACCTACTTGCATGTCATTTCTTCCCTTTGTTTGTAACATACATAAAGAAGAAGATTCAGTACATCTGCAAAGAAGAAGTTGAGTACTGTCATGGACTTTGTGAACCCCCTGTTAAACTATTTCCCATTTTTTCCCATGACTCCTAGGAGGCCACTTGGAACCTAAGTAAAACTCCAGCCCTGATTTGACAGATACCAGGCAGGGCATACAGTGGGTTCAGCATTTAAAAAAATTTTTTTTTCTTATTTCCTGAATTAACAGTTATTTCAAATGTTAATACCTATAGGCTTTCATTGGATTTACAATCACGAGAGAACATGCAAGGTTTAGAACAACCTTAGTCCTGCTTTTGTGACAGCAAAGTAAAAATTAAGAGGGGGAAACGGGTGGCACAGAATGTAAATAGAGAGGTCAGTACACAGTGGGGGATCACTTCTTCAAGTAAAGGTGCAATCTTTTCAACACTAATGACACTTCCTGATGAGTCAGCATTTGTGGAAGAGTCTTACTAATCACAAAACATGCACATTGGCCATTCCTGACAAAAAAAATATGTTCATGCATAGTTATGATCTAATCAAGGCGGCATTGAAAAACAAGAGAAACAGAATGGGAGAAAGAAGTGGTCAACCAAATTTAAAATGTCAACCAAGTCACATGGCTGCTCCACTTGGGTCTTCTATACATTAATTCCTTCCAAACACTATGATGGAAACATTTTTTCCTATGATGACAAGCCTGCATTTTACAGAGGCACGTTTCACTCTAGAAGCATGTCAGACACACTGCTGAGTATGCTGTTTGGGCTGGGCTTTTTGTACCATGACACAGCCATGCAGTAGCTCCCAAATAAGTGAAAAAATACAAGTCAGAAATGATTGCACCTTTATTGGTTGTGATTTGTTGCTCAAATAGATGAGCGCTGGAACATTCCCCCAGAGAGAAAGTAAAACAAAGTCCTCTTCTAAGGTGTTATATTTATCCTGATAGCAAGCCAGAACCCATTTTCTAAGCTATGCCTAAAACTCTTGCTTTTTGTCCAGAAAAATAAGTTAAAATAAAGGAAATGGCAGCTCCTTTTAGCAAGAGCAAGCTGTCTTCTGAATAATAATATAGTTTTTTTAAAAAATCACAGTATTACTTTCTTCCTAATATTTAACATTACTTAATGCAGTTTCCTGCTGTATTTAATAGTAGCATGCTGTTGGATCTACTATTATCTCAGAGCCCAATGAAGCAAACCTTTGGCTGACAGAGTAGACAGAACTCATTTCATATTCTGAAAGCAAAGAAAACTTCATACAAAAGAGAAGAGTATTTGAATGGATGTGCCATTACAAGACATACTGTTTGGGTGCTACTACAAGCAAACAGAGGGACAGTTGCAAGTCTTGAAAATCATACATCCAGTCAACATCATAATGCAATGCACAAGAAGCCAGCAAAAACTGAATATGTGGGAGGGTTTTGCTGAAATACTGTGGAAAAGCAATCACTGTAACTGTACAAAACTTGCTCTCGACATAACATAACATAAAGGCACCATTGATATCTTTCTCATTTTGAAATACTGTAAAAAATTGCTACATATGGCACATAACACATTTTTACATACATATATTTAATTTATAAAAGTTTTTTTTTCCTGTTTTCTATTTGCAGAACTGCTAAAATAAAATAAATTGTTTAATTTAAGGTGGAATACTTTATTATATAAAATAAAGTTTTACAGGTGAATCTATGTGTATATTTAGGTTTTATACAGCAATAGGGTCTTGGTTAGCAATTACACTAGACAGCCTGGCCTGTAATTCTTCCTGCGTCGAGAAGCGGCCTGCTGGGTTAGTCCTACTGTCAGCCAGGCGGAAGGCAGGTGCTGCCTCAAGACTGGCTGCCAGGGGGTTCTGTATGCCCAGGAAAGGTGTATCTTCACCTACTCTTTCATCTTCTGTTTCACTCTCTGAGTTACTGTTCTCAGAGCTTGTGTTGCTGTCCATTTCCAACCTGTTGGCAATGTGGCCATTGGGCTTGGTTCTTTTGGCCCGCCGGCTATTGGCGAGTTTCTTAACAGGCTCTTGAGCTGGCTCATACTCCTGGGTCGTTTCATACTCCTCATCCTCCACTATCCTCAAGGGGCTTGGGGGGAGGCTGTTACTCTCATGCGCAGGGTTGTGATGAAAGGTGTTGAATTGCTGAGCGTGGTGTTCATACTTCTTCTCCCGCAGCCTGGGTGGAGTCACAAGAAGCAGAGGTCTCTCTTCTTCCACGAAGGGGCTGACTGCCATGGAGGGCAGGGACACCGTCATGCTGGATGCGGGTGGTGACATTTCCGAAGGGGGCGATTTGGGGGAGCTTGGCGTGTGGAAATCTACAGGTGACATACGAGCCGGGGTGGTCATGGCTGATACATACCTGTGTGAGCACAGAATACCCCACATAAGTGTGGTGGAATAAGAGGCACAGAGCAGGGAGGGCAAGGGGGCAGAGTTCACCATAGGATCTTATCAGAGAACAATATTCATTTGCATACTTTTCAATTTTTAAACTAGGAAATTCAGCACCCTTGGAATAAAAATATTATGTAGCCAAGAGTGTTCCTCACAGGAGTACATGCAAAGATCGGCTAAATTGTCTAGCTCATCAAAACTTTGGGGATTTTCAGTCTCATCATGAGTTTAAACAAAAGCATGTGAGCCAAGAAAAGAGAACACTAGGTCCTAGAAATTACTCAGTTTATAAGGACCAAGGCTCAGGGATTTGGAAGGGAAAGAAGTATTACTTAAATACTATACCTTCCTAAATGCCAAGGGGGTCTTAGAGAATGAAGCCCAAATGGGGAATGGAAGAAGATCTAAGATGAGTTGCTGATAGCTGGATCTGCATGCATTTGGATCTGTGTGCCTTGTTTCTCCTTAGCTCAGCTATAAGGTTATGTCTTATGAAAAAAAAAGAGCATAGTAACTTAGATTTATTCCTGACAACAGTGTCATACATTTGTGTGCTTTCAACTTTTTTTTTCCATGAAATGCTATTAGTTAACATTCAGTTTGCAACTACCCATCCCAGGGTCCATGACATTCAAAGGTAAGCCTGAAAGAACCTTACATTGGTTTCATAGTTACCACAATGGAGACTATGTCTGGTCTCCAGACTACATCTCTTGCCAACCCTCCACTGCATCAGTCTTTGGCTTCCTAGCAGGAGGACATGAAAATCTTCCTGGCCATCTTTTGTGACTCTTCAAGGGATGACTGGACTATGTTACCTGTCATCATGCCACATCTGACAGCAGTGTATCTCAGTGCCAGGCCCCCAAGTGCACTGTTTTTACCATACCACACTTTCTTCCCCCAGAATAAGAAGACCTGATTTTCAGCACTGAGGGGAATGAGTCACATTTCTCAGCTTTTGATAAAAATGTTACCAATGCATAGTACTATAAATGAATCTTTTCTCCACCTTGACAGTCACAGAGTCTAATTCATCATGACCTGTGATGACACAGGACACCACTTTCGGAACTCCAGCTAACAGGAACAGAAAACCTATTAACTTCCCTGCTTTTCCATGATTCATAGTGATATGGATGTGAGATCCAGCTGTGTCTAAAATGGGAAAGTGTCTTGGAGATTGAAATATTTGGGACTCAAGTCTTCAGACTGTATTTTGAGGGTACTGAAATTAAGCTCCTTGAGAAATAATAATCCATATTCAACCAACATGTACAAGTAATTCAGTTTTATCTCCCTGTGGTCTTTAAGTTCAGGTCTATTTTGCAGCCTTCCATGGTATCTGGGATATGCATGTCAGCCTTCAAAGATCAACATCACAGGTAGTGATGAAGAAAGAGCTCATCCCAACCTCCTTTTCATGTTCCAAAGGAGACTAAATTAAGATGGACAGATTGCCTTAATACATAAGTATAATTACATGAATTTAAGACTAATGTTTTCAGCCAGTTTAGGACCTGTTTTTTTTTTTTTTTAAACAAATGGTTTGCAAGGAGAATTTGAATTGGATAAATTCCATACAGTTCTGAAAGACATTTTTGAGGAAGGGTAGTAAAGAAGTCATCAGTTAGTTCTATATGAATTACAAGCTAAATAGGTCATCTTTATTGTACTTCCCAGTCCAGAACACAAATAATCTTTCAAAACCATCTCCACCCATGTAACCACCAAATAAATATGGATTTGGCAATATGTAAGCCTTTTTAAAAAAATAAAGGGTCAGGGATTAGAATGAGATGACCACAATATAAAATAAAACCCTGTGGATTGCAAAACACACAGGTAGCAGCTTATTCGTGGGCTAAAAACCAATTGGGAATTACTCTCTTCCAGCTTGGGGGAAAATGAATAAAGTGCATGTATGAATTCACTATTCCTATTGAACAACTCCTTCAGTTAACTTTCTTCCATTCTTTACTTTACTTTTGCTTTTACTCCCCCAGCCCTCCTCAATCTCCCCAGAACAAGGATCAAACATTCTGGAATAAAGGGCCATAAAGAAGGCAACAACGTCTTCTTTGAAAACCACCTATGAAGACCGCCAGACACATTCCTTCTTGGAACTTTATAAAAGGGATACTATTTAGTGGAACACAAGCAGCTGTTCCCCCATGACTGTCAGCAAAGACAAACTTAACTGAGGCTGGAAAGTAAGACAGAGTTAGCACATGAGAACATGAGACCAGCTTGACCACCGATTTAAGAGTTTGGATAACTGGCAAATTGGAATTAAAGGGTCCTCATCAGACATTGATGCCATCTCTCTAATGTTATGACTGAGGAACCTAGACCCAGAATGGGTCTGAGACTATGGCCAGTTCTGGGAACTCCAAGTCTGCTGCACCTTCCACATCAAATCATTCCAGCTCTTTAAGAGTCTGTTGCCTGCCAGGCACTGGGACGATGAGAGAAGCTCAGAAGAAATAAGTTCCATCAAAAAGATGACTTCAACTAGGTGCACTCCTAGAAATGGGAACTGCCGCCCTTATTCTGATAAGGCAGCTCTCCTTGGGTGAGACGCAGGTGCTCACGGGATTCTTTAACTGAGGTTCTCCTGGGCAGTAGCTTTGCCCCTCGCTTTTACCTTTCGCTATGAGGAGAGTCTCGGTAGGAGTCAGGGGTTTCTCTGGCATGCCTGAGGAAGCTGTTACACTCGCGAGGGCCTCCTATGCCATTAAGACGTCCTCTTGGGCCCCCAGTTGGGCTGCTGTGCCTACTGTTTTCTACTGATGACGTCATGATTACAGAATGGCTTTCCGACATGATGCTTTCTGTGTGTCCGTTGCTCCAGCTAGAAGGGAAATGTGAGAGGAAGTGAGTTTTGTTTGGTTTTATGACATGCAGACATGGAAATGAAAGGAAGTTATTCTGACAGATATTTCCAATTAATGATACATTAGAAGCTCTCTACAACAGTAATTGTGTAAGAAAAGAATTGATACAAAGAAACTTGCCATAGAGAGGGCTTTGTGAACATAGTTTATTCATTTATTTGTTCATTCATTCAATAAATATTAATCAAGTGCCACTATGTATTAAATGTTCTTAGTCCTTGTGTTCTTGAATCCTTTAGGTCAGAGAAATGTCATGTTGTACCAGTTACATTTGGAAGTGCAGTGTTATTCTTGGTAGCCTGCAATCAATTTGAGATCACCAGGGCATTTGAGAATTTAGGGTTCACCAATCTTCATGTACATTTTCCAAGGCAATCCAAGTATTATATAAAATCCAGTTTCTAAGTATTATATAGAATCCTAGAATTTTCTCTGTGTAGCAATTCAGTGAGTAGCAGCAGGTGAGTGACGACAATCTCTAGAATGGGGAAGAACAACCCTATAAAGTAGATGTTATTATCCACCACCATTTTTGTTGTTGGTGGTACCAGGGATTGAACTCAGAGGCACTCAACCACTGAGCTACATCCCCAGCCATTTTCTGTATTTTATTTAGAGACAGGGTCTCACTGAGTTGCTTAGGGCCTCACTTAATTGCTGAGGTTGGCTTTGAATTGGTGATCCTCCTGCCTCAGCTTCCAGGGGCACTGGGATTACACGCGTGTGCCACCATGCCTGGCTACCATCACTTTTTTTTTTTGATAATGGAAAACCTGAGGCTCAGATTTACACAGCTATTGAGAGTAGAGTCAACCAATGTCCAAAGTCTGTTCATGTCCAAGGTCTGTATATTGTACTGCCTCCCAAGTGTCTCCTTTCTTAATGCAATGATAGTAAAAGCTCACGTGCAAAAATTCATTCTTAGAGAACTACTGTGGAATTTTTATATTTTCATACCTGTGGCTAGGAGTCTGGGTGACAGTTGTGGAGTGATGAGCCGTTGAGGTATAATGACTAGTGGAAAAAGATGTCTCAGCTTCTCTCTCAACAATATGCTCGCTAGATATGACGTTTTTAGATACGTATTGCTGGGTAGACACAGAGACACAACTTGAAGATGCATGTAAATCAAAATACTAAAATTGTTACACACACAAATCTGTTTTTGTACACAAGTTTCATAATAACTTTCATTTCTCCAGTGCTGTATGGCAAATCCTCTCGGCTACTTTGGATTTTAGATTGGATGAAAAAAATGGAATTAATTACTCTCTGGATGCACACACAATATAGGTCCTAAAATCACGACTAACTTCATTTTCTCAGAAAAAGACCTTTCTTCTCCCTCATTTCCAGTTACTTACCTGACTAGAATTCAAAACAAATTCTGATACTCATTTTTGTCAGGATTGTTGCAAGTCAAAGAAGATTACCAGATATTTTTGATTAAAAGAAAAGCATACCTTATCTTACTTCAAATTTCAAGTCACTTGAAAAAAATTAATTTCAATATTTTGGATCTTCTTTCCTTTTTCAATATCATGGTGTCAATACTGCCCTACTAATATTAAAATTTCTAACTTGTCAATGGTAACATTAACAAGGGTATTACAAAATTTGAAGGGCTTACAATAGTTGTCAAGGTGACACATCTATGAATACCTAGTATACAGAGGGCCTTACATTTAGTGCAACTACATTTTATTTCATTTTCATCAGCAAACCACTGTAGCTATTGCTGCCCTCTATCAGTGAGAAGATGTATTTTAAAAGTTGTTTTGAAGTTGTACTTTAAATGCTATTAGTATTTCTAACAAATTGAATTAAATAACAGGAAAAGAAATGGAATGGACTATTTGTTGATAAACAGGGCACTTTATATTCTGATGAGCTATGAAGACTAAAGCACCTGATCTCTTTGTGATAGCCCAAAAATGTACAACTTGGATTATGCATGAAACTCCAGCTGGTTCTGTTCATGGAAAGACTATTCCATAGGGATCTTCCTGGGAATTATAGCTGGTTAGGTATATATAAGGAAAAGATACAGAGTGACTTATCTCTGGTCCATGCACATTCTGCTCTTGCTTCTTGAGGGGTGACATAAACTTAATGAATCTAAGTGCCACTAGGCTGTTCCATGTAAGTTATTTTATCCTACTACTCACAAGAAGTCTTTGAAGCATTTATTATTTTTAGGTTTGTTTTCATAATAAATAAGATTGAGAAAAGGTTACAGCCTAAGGTCACACCATTTAGAGCCATAATAGAATTCAGGCACTCATGGCAGTAAGACTCTTGATATATTATAACATATATAATAACATATTATAGTGATGTTGGTAGAGAATGCACTTATTAGCCCTGCAGAACACTTTGATGAACACCATTAGGTGGAGGTAAGCAAGAAAGTTTATTAACCTATCAGCACCTTGCCCCAATAATGTTCTATAGATCTCTGCTATAAGATGTGGGGTAATCTAGAAACCACTATCTCCAGACATGGTTCTATAACATTTCTGCTCTACTAAGTATACACCTTTTTTTCCAATAGGGTAGAAAAATGATTACTACAATACAATCTTTGGGAATTGATCTATTAAAAAGCCATATAACAGAGGGAAATTAAAAAAATGAAACAAGAAGTATTTTTCTGGAATATAAAGAGTAACACTTCAAAAGCCAGGAGGTCTAAGTACAGTGCTTGTTCTTGTCTATAAAAACAGAGAGGTTTGGAAGCTGATGATATATAGTCTCCAGAACTGAAAATTCTATCATCTAGTTGAATTTAAGGGCCAAGTTCTTGGTAAAGTATAAACAAAATATTTGAATGCTTAAGGAGGCATCTCATCTGGAGTGCTTGGTATCACATAGAACAAGCCAGGGAGTAGCAAGCATTACATTCTCCCAATTTTTCTACTGCGAAGCATGTTTGATAAGTCACTTGACCTTTCCATGCCCTAATTTCTTCCTTTGGGAATCAGAATCAGTAAATCATCAATTACTGTAAAGTGCCCCTACTAAATATCACTCCAAATCCGTGGCTCAGTTATCTGTACTAATCAGGTATAGACTGGAAGAGTCTTCATTTCCAAATTATTAAAAAATACAAATTCCTTCTGATTCTGGTTTTATTAATTTTATTACATTGTTTTTGTTTTCTTCCTCCTGTTCCAGCCTCCCTGCAGAACAAACCCAACATTATGATTCCAACTCCTTAATGAACACTTTATAAGAGGAAATGTGTGGGTTTTACAGAAACCAAATCCACTTTAAAAAAAATGTTCCCATTATTTTCTCCTGGTGAAATCTTGGTTTCCTGGAAGCCATGGTGATTAATGGCAGCAGCTAAGAGCCTAAGAGCTTAGAAAATAAACTTCAAGATGCCAGTACAAAAGGGACATGCGTAGTTTGTCTCACTGGCCAGTCAACATACATTCACCAGCTGCACATTCTCCGGGGGTGGATTAGGATGGTGAGGCCCATTGGCTATGTTCACCATGTTGTTCCTTTCAGAACGAAGACTCTGTCGAAGCCGGTCATGAAGCTTTTTCCGCTGTTTCCTAGATGTAAAAAAGGAAGCATAATTTTTTTCCTATTATTTACATTTCTTAGTACAGCCAAATCTTTATTCTACCAACACCTATGAATAATTCAAGGCAGTGGCTTGGTGGTGAGGAGGAGAACAGGACTATATGCCATTCCAGAATAAGTAGGCTCATACATCCTCAGCAATTGGGCTTGAAAAGCTGTGTGGGATTCTTACAGAAACGTAACTGTTTCACTGAAGAAAAAGAAAGAAGGAGGAGAAAACAAATATGTTGGTATTTGGCTAAAATCCCAACTTTCTTAATCAATCCATCTTCCCCTAAACCTTACAGATGGTCATTGGTCTTAGATAACAATTCGTGCTGTAGAATTGATGACTGATTCTATTTGTAGTTTTTTTCCCCTGTGGATTCCTTCAGAAAATACACTTAGTTTCAAATCTGTACATTATACACAGTGTGTGTGTTTTGGGGGGGCCCATATAGTGAGATTGGACATATTTTGCCCCTAGGTTTTGGCACAATTATAATGTGGTCTTACCCCTGTAATGCTTTTTGTGTAAGCAGGTAGTGAATATTAAGACTGAATCTAATAAGTTGTATGAGGTCAATTCCATGAAGGCTTATCTCTCTCACCTACTCAATTCTGGCAGCATGCTAAATCATGGGGTATTAAGAAAATACAATTTATGCCCTTAATTTTGTGGTACAAAAGCATATTATTTTTTTCCTCAATGCAATATTCAAATCATGAAAATATCTCCATGACTAGTTTTGGCAAGAGTATATCATGTTATGAGGAAATGTTTTTTTTTTTAAATTCCTGTTAATTTAACATTATTTCAGACTTAAAGACAGAAAAATGAAGGGCAAACAATAAATACATTTGTCAAGATGGACCAAGTTTTTAGGGTCAATCAGTGGCCACAAATCTATTTTAAAGCTTTCCCTGTAGCTCTTTCTAAGCAAACTTTGCTTATTTTACTCTCATGAGATTCCTTTTATGTACCTCACTCATCCTTTGACAGCATTTACACTGGCAACCCAAGTAAGTAGAACTGAAACATTTTTCACTCTTTTAGAAAACTACATTTAAAATACCACCGAGTATTTCTTTTATCTCCCAAGTTTGTATAAACTGGATTTGTTCTCAGCAATGATGTGTCAAGTGCATCTCTGGCACCTATATTTCCCTTTTAGTACATGATCCCTGTGTGCACATATTTGCATGCACAACTACATACATGCATTCTTGTGCTTCTATACAAGCCTGTCCTTCCAAATGTTCATCCATTTGTATGGCTATGGTCACATGTTAGAAATTTCCTGAACGCTTTCACAGAAAACACAAAGCTTTCCAATGTGTGTGATTAGGAAAGGTCCTCAAAGTGCATTTTTAAAGGGAAAAATAAGGGGGAAAGTGCTTCATCCCTCTTTCTCCCAGGATTAGGGTGTGAAGCATGGTGTCTACAAAGCCCTGGCCACCTAAGCCATCTGTGCACTAAGGAGAGAGAAAGGTGTGGAGGATGAAGTTTACTTGGTTTTGCAGTAGGCCACCACACACATGATGCCGACCACCAGCAGGGCGATGCAGATGCCGCTTATGGTCAGCACTCTCTTCTGGTAGAGCTCCTCCGCTTCTGGAAAGGGGTGAGAGCAGATGTCATTAAGGTCACTTATAATTGCCAGGATTTACTACAACTGAACAGCTGGCATGCTGCATGACATTGTCCGTGTTCACAAGAAAATAAATACAATTCCTTGCATTTACAGACATAATCTAAGAAACAACATGCTCTGTGCTACACTTTGAGCATCAATAACAAAGCCAGCTGAGTCCATTGACAATAAAATAATATACTCTAAAAATTATACCAATAACAAGCTATATATATACATATACATATATATATACACATATATATACATATATCTTTATAATATAAAACTGGAAAATTATAAACGTTAATTATAACATAGCAATTTGGTTAACACATGGTAGATATTTTAAAATCTTTTGCAAAAATTAAAAAAAAAAACTCTTGCAAAGACAACAGGAATAAACACCATTAAAAGGAGCTAAGATTGGCAGCTCTGATACTCTCCTTTTCACCTTCCTCCCTTCTCCACCCTCACCTCCAACCCAGCTATTTATGTCATCATTCATATCCAGTGGTCTTTACAAAGAGTCATTTCTAACTTAAAAAATTAAATTAAAAGACATCTGCAAACATGAACTTGGCTTGTAGTTAGCAAGTACATTAATGTAAGGTTCCTTTGATTCAATAGTAAAATGTAAAAATATAGTTAGCATAATATGGAGTAGCACTGTATCCAAGTATTAGTCACTGTATCCAAGAAAATCTAATATGATGGGTAAGGTAGTCCTGGAGCAAAATTAAGCTTTGTTCTTTGGAGGACAATGCTTATCACTTCATAAGTTGAAATTAGATAACTGGTTTATTTGTCCAAAGAAACAAGTCACTAGCACAAATGATGTATCATTTGGAATAGAGTATTTCTTCCTACATTGGCCAACTTGGCAAATTAGATATTCTACTAAGGAAGTATGATGCTTAGAACTTTGAACTAAAGGTACTACTTTACTCTATGTGCAATTATTCTCTAATTCATGGAAATTTTTCTATTTGCAAATTAGTTTCTTTGGGGGATAACTTGATTATACTAAGGTGGGTCAGGTTCTTAACAAGATTTGCTGACTTAATGGGGACCTTGATCCCTTAGGAGCTTTCAACAGTCTAATTACATTTATTGGAAGATCTTCACAAGTTCACTCAGAAAGAGAACTCAGCCAGTACATAGTAAGTAACTCTTTACTTGCCATGATAGTTATTAAGCTGGTCAAGAACTGGAGAATATTGTACAGATAAACTGGCTTATCAGGACATCAGCAAGGGACCCTTAAAGAATATTTCCATGGTACATTCTCAGTCTCAGCAACAATAACTTTTAGTCTTTGGAGAGAGGGCAACTCACAGGAAGTTTTCTTGAAATGAAAAAGTGAATTTTAATTTCTAGGACACAGTGGACCTTATCATTAAACAAAACATTTCCTACAAGCCGAGCCCATGATAATCAAATTCCAGTTAACAGGTCAAGAACATTGTCAAATCAAATTAATAGAGCACTGATTATTAACAGGAGGAGAAGGAGAATAGAAGTCAGTGGGTAAAAGAGTAGAATGCTGCATAGATTATACAAAAACAAACTGAAGGGGTTGGAAGTAGAAAGGAAAAACAAACAGAGAGGACAGACAGGCTGACAGAATGACAGAGAGAGTGAGGAAGTCAAGTACGAGGGAAAACAAGGTTAAAAGTTAGGGAGCCTTCTGAAGTCCCTGGCACAGCATGCCTGATACTAAGGGAGGAACAATAAATAAATAAAAGAAAACCAGAAGGAGGAGATGCTTGGGTGGAAGAAAAGGTGGATGCAAAGTTGGAAGGGTTATCCCATACAGCATAACTCCTACCCTAGGCTAGCAGTTGTGTGCAAGCCACAATTAGAAAGCAAAGCAGCTGGTGCATTGCGATGCAACACTGCAACGGGAGACATAGAGTTGGTGTCATGGATTTTTGAGCCGCAAAAGTCAAACGAGGACATGGAATGTGAGTGCTTATATGTTAATTGCTTGTGTCTGTTGCCTCCTCTCCCTTCATAGCCACAGGACAGGTAATTAATTTTTATGAGTTTTTATCTGTGAGCTGAGGCTGCTATAACTTCCTTTCCTGACCTTGGCATCCCAATCAGTTTTTAGCATATATATGTAAGAAGCAGAGTTATCACCCCACTGTTCCTTCTCCATGGGGCCCAGGATGCAGAACAGGGATCCTTCATCTGTGATGAATTGATTAAGAAATATGAATGTCACTATTGCCACCAGGAAGGGTGGAGCCCTGAGTTTTCCACTCTGGCTTACTCTTTTTTAAAAAAAAATTCTTTTAAAATGGTAAGGCTGGGGTGAGGATGCAGTTTAATGGTAGAATTTGCCAAGCATGAGTTCCATATCCAGCTCCGCCAACAAAACAAAACAAAAGGCAAGACCTTAGTTGCACCTGATCACTGACATTCTACCTTTAGAAAAAGCTGAGAAACTGCTTCTACAAACTTCAAAAGTGGGGTCATACATGAAGGCTTGTCAGGGGAAAAATGATATTGTGCACTCTCAGGGATCCTTTTGATAAATTTTCATTTGGTTGTTGCTATGAAATAGATTGAGTTGGATTTGTGAACAATGGCACAGAATGACTGGCCCCTTCTTCCTGTGGTACACAGGAAGATGGTGTCCAGTTGAATGATTATTTCATGGGAATAAAAAGCTCAATAAAGGACAAAGGATAATATAAGAGTACTAAAATGAACTAATTAAAGGCAAAGCCTACAGAATACAGACCTGGGATTAAAACTCCATATTCACATCAGCATTTAACTAAATGCACTACAAACATTTCTATATGACTTTTTTAAATGATTTTGCCAGATCATGTAATCTCTACAATAGTAATATGCTGAGGGAAAAACACATAGAAAACCATAGCAGAAGGACTAGGTTCCTTTATCCCCCTTTGCTTCATAGTTTATTCTTTAGGTGGCAGGGCCCATAGGGCAAGAGCAAATCAGAACTCTGCTGAAAAACAAGAATCTGTCAGTCCAATTGGGGGATCAGTCTTCCTGTATGGAAATACTCCTGGGTTGCAATGCTGGATGCATTGTATGAATCAGAGCAAGCATATTTTTCAGTCTGATGTGCCCAGGCCAAGGACAGAGCCCTTGTCCTTCTCAGTTTGAATTGATCTTTAAGATCAAATTTTCTTTAAGGATGCAATGGCCTTGACTAGTATGCTCTGAGGGCTTTGAAAAGTGAGTCTTACAGGTATGTAGATGCCAGCACATAGTCTTCACTGACCCTTGAAAGATCTTACTGAAGTAACTGTATATCTCAACTATTTGACTTCATTATTTTGAAATACAAATATTGAATTCTATAGTCAGAGCCAAAAGTTATAAAGGAGGAGCTATCCTATGAGTGACAAGGGGTAAGGGGAGTGGCAGGATCTTTTTCCTCCCTGCAGAAACCGGAACACTTTTTATCATGGGGGAGGAACCCCCAACAGTGATAACTGCTGCTCCCTCTTGGGCTCCCTAGTCTTGGAAGATGCTTTTTGATGCCCAAAGGCTTATTCATGTAAATATGGGCTTTCATCAAAGTAAGAGTTTTCTTCTGGATTTTTTTTTTGAGGGGGCTGGGGGTGGGGCAGTTCATTGAGTTGCTATCCCTGTAACTGCTAGAGCTTGCAACTGCCTCATTTGCCACAAGAAAGTACATTAGGGGTAGACAGTTGTTGACATCCAAAAAGGCTGTAGGGCACCCCTGCTGCATGATGTCACTAAAATCAGCTTCATAGGAATTAGATACTGTCCTGTTAAGCAGGACATTATGCTGTTGAGCCTAGACCCTGTTCCAGAGCTGCACGCAGCATTCCAGTGAGACAGCCTGGCCTGGCACTGTGAAGACCAGGCAAAGGAGCACAGCTTCCTGTTCCTTGCAGAACTGGCTTTTTCGCCCCACTATTTAGTATGAAGGCCTTCGGGAGTATGCCCAAGTCTCATCTGCTCATAAGAGAAATTTTTTATATTCACAGTGTGAAATTTTCTATTTGATTACTTGTCTGGATCATCTTAGTGACTCAAATTTAATTCCATTAGCACTGGAATTTCCACCTAAAATAGCACAAGGCTTCTTTCTTTCTGTTTTCTATTTCCTTGCTCATTAGATAATGAAGTTGACTAGAGTCAAACTTGAACATCTCCAGAAAACTTGAGTGATTCAAGTCTGTGCACGTAATACTGTGTTGCACTGTAAGGGCTTTTTCTTACTATATTTAATAGGTGGTTTTGTATTGTATCTTAAGTGCCTATCAGTTAAGAGGTACTGTGTTTTTTAAGCAGGTACCATTTAAAGCTTCCTTTGTTCTCATGCCCCTAGTTTGACTTCTCCTCTACCCTTGTGCACCACTCTAACTTACCCCAGTTTTTTTTTTTTTTTTTTTTTTTTAAAAAAAAGGATAGCCAAATCCAATCAGTGGGTCTGTCACACAATGTGGGATGTACATGAATGTAGCAGCAGGGGCAGGTGATTTTAAACTATTACTGAAGGAAAGTAGCTTGAGACTTTAAAAACTGCTGCATTCAGTAACATTTCAATAAACTAATCATAGATTGACAGCAGAGAAATCATTGTTATAGCTGTATGATCCCTTCTAAAGAAAAAGGAAATTAGTTAGGAACTGAAAAGTAAGAGTAGGAAGGGAAAAAGATTTCAGCTCATAGGCTCTAAAATTCTGCAGGCTAAAAGGAATGATGATTGGTCCATACCCATAAATTCAATCCCAAGATGCTCTGCCAATGCAGAAAGTTGACAAAAAAAGAAAGAAAGGGAAAAAGTTTCAGAAAGAGCAATACACTGCACTCCAAAACACATTACACATGACTATTATAGCTCTCTGTGCGTGCACATTGAACAGGACAAATGGGTGGTTAACAAAGCAGTGCTCAGGTATGCCACTCTGAGTCCACACAGGAACTTCTGTATTTTAGATAATGTGCAAATACCAGCACATTCTCTTTATTAACCCTTAAAAGACTTTACTGAGGGAGAATTTTCATAGCTGAACTATCCTCTACTTTCCTCATTGCTTGAAAATAGCAATGTTATTTTATTTTTAATCATCAAAAAAGCACTTGGTATTATTTCATTTTCATTTTAATAATGTCCCAAGGAAGTAAATTATTATTTTTATTTTTATATTTACTGAAAGACACATAGTGGCAGAGTCAGGAGTAGAAGCCAAAGGAGAGTAATTTGGTCTGAAATTTTTATCACATTGGATTTATGTTTTTCATTGCTTGTGTGTAGTTACATTTCAGTATTTATTATTTTTTATTTTTATTTCTAATCTGTTTCTCCTTCCGCTTCCTTCAGTACTTCATAACATGTTTCATTCAAATAAAACAACAAATGCTTCTACCTAAAAAAATCTGAGATAGGCACGTGAGAAACTGGAGATTGCTTGCATTTTTTTCTCATAATTTCTGTGTGGTATTGGACAACTCTATGTACCAGTTTTTCAGATTGCAATTTTTTTTTTAAAAAATGTATTTTTTATAGTATGTGTGGAGGGGAGATATAGTTTCTAGGACCCTTTGATTTTAATTTCATACTCTTTCAAGTAAAAATTAGAGCCAATTAGATCATGTCTCCACAGTGCTGGGCTCTGGTGGTCACAGGTACCAAGAGGATCTGCAGGGAAAGAGACTCAAAAGTGTGAGCCCACAAACAGCAATCCTGGCAGCTCTAGACACTCTTGGATTTCAGAAAAGCAGACCTGCATAGGCTCAAATAAGGAAATGGGAGAAAGAGGCAAAGAAAGGAAAAAAAAACCCCAACAACTCCAGGAAGGGCACTTTTCATTCTTTTAACAAAAATTGATAGTCTGGTTTCGTTAGGTGGAAATTTGAGGATTTCTCTTACTTATGTCTGCATGGCATAAAATAAGGTCTATATTTTCTTCCCTTGATCACAGATTTGAGAGATGCCAGAATGAGACCTTAACAAAATGAGCCATCTCTTAAGTTTGAAAAAAGGTATGGAGGGGTGTTACTCAGTTTGGGCATGGAGAAAGCTCCTCCTGCAGAGATGGGAAGAGTGGAATGTACGAGCTGGAGTCATCCTGGTTTCAAGTCCTGCCTCTGCCATTTAATGATTGAATGACTTTGGAAATGTAAAATTCTCATTGACCTAATTCATGTGATACACTTTCCTCACTGGGCAACCCTGTGGAATAAAGGAGATATGAAAAAATGTTGCCCAGCAGAAGGAGGAGTTAACATTTTGGGAAACAGACACATTTACAGCTATACCTTGGGGCACTTAAGGCACTCAGGTTGACTTTTCACAACTTTTGTGCCCTTGAAAATTCTGAAAGCCCTTGGGATATATCTAAAAAATAAACTTTAAAACTTGCAGCATCTTAAGGAAATAAAACTTCCCAAATTAAAAATACATATGTACTATGTATTTGATAATGGGAGGCACTATGTATTATTTTCTTCTGCCTTGGGTCCAATGTACTCAGACAATAATCTGAATTTTTCACTAATTAAAAGCTAGGGAATATAGAGTTAATTTGGTTACATGAGATATTCATAGTAGAATAAATTATTCAAATCCAAACAAATTTCTTTTGCCTCTGAACAATGTTCAGTTTGTCAAATTGACATTTATTTCCCCATTTGCTTTCTTCATGTAAACTTTGGCACATTGATGTGAAAAAAATTCATTTCTCAAGGAAATCAATAATAAATTTTCAAGAATGTGACCCAATTTCCCTTTTATGTGCCCCTCCATCTCTTGCTTTTCACTTCTACCAGTCAGTAATATTTTAAGGGTTAAAACCAAGACATATCTAGAGTAACTCATTCCAAAGATTCATTTTTCCATGCCTACGTGAACACTGCTAATGATCTATATTAGTTGCATAGAAAGCTTAGTTAAGTTTTCAATAAAATTAGTAGCATGCCCATGCATACATATTGCTGCATTTACAGTTTTATAGGTAAGTCTGTGAGCCTAACTATAATTTCATTTCAAGGGAAGTCATTCATATCAGGCAGGTCCAATTTCAAATAATTCAATGGGAAATTGGTATTTAAAACTGGAATCTTCTGGCCATAAGCCTTAACAAGGAAACAAGCATAGGAAACATGCATTGGTCATTCTAGAACCGGAGCAAAAACTGCTCTAATTTATTTCTACTGTTGGTGGTTACATTTCTTTCATCATAATTCAAAAAAAGCAGAATATGCAAACACTTTTCATTTTGTGAAGAGGTTATTTCTATCTGTTCTATTTAATCTAATGTTGGCTTAGTCTCATTATGTATCACATGCTTCCTATTGAATTGCTGCCTAGCCACTACATTTTTCAAATTAAATTAATAATTCAAAAACACAAAGGTTACTGTAAACAATTTAGTTTCCTTTTCTACATGTGATTTCCTGCTGTGCCCTCGGTGATATAAAAAATTAATTTAAATCTAAGAGTCTTCAGAAACTATTAAGTATTGACTCACTAATCCTTTGCCTTAGGATTTTATAATTACTTTTAGAAAACTGATTAACCTGGAGGTTAATTTAAATTTTCAACTGCATTAGTGGAAAGAACAATAAAACAACTTTCTTTCACCAAAATTATATATCCATTGCAATTATGGTTTCTGTTAAAATTCTGAGACATTCCAGTATTTGTTCTGTAACATCTTGGAGCTGTTTATGCAAATAATGTCGAAGACTGTGTAGTTCTGATTTCTTGTACCTATAAAACTTCTAAAGGAATTCTCTGAATGCCAATTCCAAACTGGACCAATTTAGTGTCTGACTTTAATTTTAGACTTACCTTTGTAAATGTAGATACTTTTATTTTCACATATGCCAATCCATATTGTCATTGAGCCCTTTGAAATGTAATAGCAGACTTTCTCCTTATTCCCAGGATCCACATGCACATGAACACACACACACACACACACACACACACACACAGAGTAAAATCTCACACTCAGTTGGAACTTATGAATTTTGTCATAGATGGAGTGTCTTTGTTCTACTGTTATCAGGATACCATTTAATAAATACATTATTACAACAGGTTTTGAAAGCATTTAGAAATCTGTGAAATAACTAATACAATAATAACATATGATTCACAGCTACTTTTAAGGATATGGGATAAATTTAATCATTTTGACAATGTGCCTAAATGTTCTAAAATTGCATTCTTTTAAAATATCCTGCAGTTTGAGCTATTCTCATAACTAGTTCTTATTATTTGTTAGCTTCTAAGGACATATTTGCTCTTTACTACCATTATCTTCTGAAGTTGTGAATGCTTTTTCTTTTTTTTCTTCATGAAGTCTACATATTGATTATGAATTACATGCACACACACACACACACACACACACACACACACACCATGCCACATATTGGTGAACACAATCATATTACTTGGGATTGTGTCAAGATAGGTCAAATTTAAAACTGACCAAACTTGACAATATTTCCTTAGGAAGGGCTATAAATATGTTATATTTTGAGAAAAATGACTGTCATATAAAATATACATTTGTTCCTTTCTTTCATTTTAAATACATTTTTATAAATTAAAAAATGGCCCATGAGATATACTGTCCAGAATTACTTTATCAAATCCTAATAATGTGTAAATTATATGTCCATAAACATTCAAAATATTGTAATTCTTTTGAATGCTATTTTCAACTACAAATGTGGTTGGGTAGGTTTTAATTATTTCTCTTTGAGGCTAGGGACTACCTTTTACTTCAAATCCATGTAATGCCCTCCAGACATTATGTTCACAAGCAAACAAACAATTAAGTGACCTTGCTAGAAACACATTCTAGCCTTTTCTTAGCCTTCACTGCTATTTGAACATGAAATTCTTAGAGCAGCAAAAATTTATTTTGCTGTCTCTATGTAGGAATTTGCAGAGAGAAAAAAAATGAAAATTTCAGGCATAAAGAATTAGAGAATGAACTCTGGGCAAGACAATTCTGGAAAGCAATGTCTGATTGGAAGCTCTTGCTTTTCCAGACATGAGGCATCAATAATGCAGTCATTACATGTTTTGTTCATAAATGTGCTTCCTATCAATCTTTGTTAAATCAGGTTAAATATAAATGCTAATTTCCTGGATGTCTTCCAAAAATGTCATTGAGAGCTTACTAAAGAATTTATTTAAGGAGTCACACTTTGGAGTTCACAAATAGAGAGTGGCTATTTTAAAATTGTGTCTGTGAAAGTGAAAATGGCCCCAAAATGAGTGAAAACATTTTGTTTGGTTATCTCTATCAGATCTAAGTGCATTATTGTTCTGGGAAATATCTTCATGTTTAATACTTTCTTTATATAGTGATCCAACATTGTCTTCAATGCACAATGAAACACCAAAATTTTAAGAAATAACTTAAATGTTCTGAATTGTCATTAATTTCTAAAATTTGATTTTATTGTATTTGTATAATCACATGGCTTTGCTAAATCTATGCTATTTAAATACAAACACACAAATTTCTAAAAAAATGGGTCAGATATTCAATAAATTTGTTTTTTTTTCCATTATATTTTTAGCTTCCATACTATCTACCTTAAAAAAAAAATCATCCAGAGATAAGGAGAGAAAATTCCTGCCCAACATATTTAAATATTTGTGAATACAACAAAGACTATGTTTGAAAAAATGAGCAATGCCAATTTGCCATTCATTTAATAATAGACAGCCTATGGCAACCTCTGATATGTAGCCTATGTAATATGTTAAGTATTATTTCACTAAATAAATGATAATTATGGGTGTAATCTCCTCATAAGGGCTTCTAAAATTCATTCTGATAACTTTTATAACTGTTAAAAAATCCTTATTCATTGTGTGCATCAAAAACAAGGACAAATTTGATTATTTTAAGGTCCTCAAGTGACCAGCTTGTTTCTTATGTTATATGAATTTAAACTGCAATAAACTATGACATATTTTTCAGGGTGAGCAATTTACAGGAAGTGGCAAAACAGGGGTTACCAATTCCAGCCCACTGCCTGCTTCTGTAAATAAAGTTTTAATGGAACACAGCCATGCACGTAAGTCCATGCATTATTTGTGGCTGGTTTCATGCTACAGTGGTAGAGTTCTGAAGCTGTGATAATGATAATATTACTACAAACCCTAAAATATTTGGACAATACAGAAAAAATACCAACCCTCAACCTAAATGAATAACCAAAAATGGATCTATGTCAAATACATTGTTTTGAAAGTTACATTACTTAAAGCTATAATCCCAGTTCACAACAAAAGGACAAATACGTAAGTTAATTATACGTGCAATTATACACAATGTGAATTGGGTATTTTAGGAATAATTTTCCAAACATCATGAAGTCATAAAAACGCATTGTGATTTTCCTGTTCTGCATTAAATATATATATATATACACATATATATAGAGAGAGAGAGTTAAACCGTTATATTTCAAAGTAACACATTTAAAAAATAATAACTATTTCTTCCTCAATTTACCTTTGAAACTAACATGAAGACATGCTAATATAAAGAAATGCTAACATAAAATGGTTCTTTAAACTAGTTCTGAATTGCTTGTTCCCTAAGCAACATAAATAGAAGGCAGGATATTTCATTCGTGTTGAAATGTTTGCTTTTAATTTTCCTACTCAGTGCTGTTCTTTTTTAATGCCTACATGCAAACTGTTTGGTTAATGAAGAAAAACATCTGAACTCTTTTGATGATGTTTATTTGGTATAAATAACACACTCAGAACCAAAATTAACTTACCATCATTTTGAGTGCATATTGGTTACAGCTTAGCAACAGCCTTTTCAGGATGTTGACATGGTATACAGAAGATGGACTGTTCAGTGCAATGATTTTATTTTATCAATAAAAGTGAGACTTTTAAATGCCTTTATTATAATTTCACTGCTTGATATTGACTATCAATTTGTATCACATTATGCAATATCAATTTCAGAAACATCCGGAGCCTCACACACCTATTAGTATCTCAGAGCCAACTAGTCACGAACAGAGGAAGTAATACAATTGCTTTTGTTAATGTTCTCATGCGACAGGCAGAGGCAGTCAATATTAGACCTGGTAAAACGCATCTAGCTCTAGGTGAAATCTGAGGGGAGATGCAGCAACAAGAAAGCAGCACCGACTGAGCATGCTCCTATTCAGGCAGAGACAGAAAGGGAGTGGACGTACTGTAGAAGCTGGCCATTACGTAGTTTTGGCAGCGATCACCAGTAAACTCATTTGGGCACCTGAGAGAAGAAACAAAAAACAATGGTAGAAAAAAACAGAGAAAAAGAGAAGAGGTGAATATATGCTAGAAAGAAGCTCCTTCTGTGTCTTTTGACTGAACTTGGTGAGTTCACCCTCAGGAACTGAATCTTCGTCCTAATCATGGCTTTCAGACTCCGGCATTTCCCTTAAATGGTTAAAATTTTGAACAAAACGTAGTTCTCAAGTTCGTATGATGAAAAGATCCCAGCATTTTAAGTGACTTCTTTCTTTCAAAGGGAGCCACTTAAAATTAAAATCTAATGTTTGATTCATCTCAGTTTTTTTATTTGATAGCTTTGGACAAAGATGTTGGGAGGAAATATATTTTTTTTTCATTGGCTTGCTGTCATCGATTGCCAACATCACAGACCATCCCAACTGACCACTGTTTTACATTTATGACTTTGGGACTTATGTGGAGAGAGAGAGCTAAATATCATAGTGAGTGGGTTTATGCCTTGAGTGGACAAACCATAATGAGAACAAAAGGAATCAGTTACAACTGAGCTGTAAAAGCACCAAGTGGTAGTGATTGTTGCTGTAGTTTGGGGGAGAAAACAAATTTCAGATTATTTTAACATACTTTCTTGGTTTTGGACTTTCATGGGCACATTCTCAGTACATCTTGCTCCAGTGAATCCAGGTTGGCACCTAGAGGGCAAAAATGTGATAAGCAATAGAACGCTAAAGACACTGAACTTTCAGACTGGCAATTTTTCCTCCTATGGAATATGGAGACTCCTAAAAACAACCTGGTACTGAACAACATAAAGAAAAGAAACAGCACAACATTGAGAAGACCACACCTCATGAAAACTGTGGGTCACCAATTTTGGTGGTTTGCTGCATTCTTCCAAAGATCAGTTAACTGAAATTTAACTTGAGTGAAATTAAACTAGTTTAAGCTGAACAGGGTGGCAAGGAGGGACATGTCTCTTTTTCCTTCTGACTGTGAGCACTGATTTCTTTCTATGTTAAAGCACTGGCTTTGGTAACTGCTTCCTTCATGGCTCTGCCCATGTTTGTTCTTATCAAGGGATCTTGAGCTTTTGATGCTGTGCATACCCAGTTTTCCCATTATTTTATAGCTATTTTCTAAATTGTAAGATAAATGGTTACACAATAGGTGTTGAACAATTTTTATAATCTAACTTGATTCCTGATAAGAAAAACTTGTCAGTAATCACGGTTTTTAGAAAATATTACAAATTAATCTCATTTTTATTGTTACAAGACACATAGTAGGAGATTTTTATTACTATAAACTTCACTTAATTGTTCCAAATGAATATACCTTAAAATTTAGAAGTTTTTTTTCTACAAAAGTATTTAATAGATATCCTTCTTGCATTTAAGGTAAAACTATTTTGAAATTATATAAAATTTATATTTTATTCCACTAATACATTTACCTATCAAATTTCTAGAATCTTGATATTAAACTGTTCTTAAGGCCATGCAATGGGGCTAGATTTAGATATGAGAGTCCTTTTATTTATTCTGTTTATGACTATTATTTTAGTATCCAAAGGATTTTAAATTGTATGCACTTTACCCAATACCATGCTCTAGTAAAAAAGCTGAATGAAGGATTCTATGAAGCAAATATACTTAAATATACTTACTGGTGGAAACAATCTTTATTTAAATGTTCAACACCCATAGTTATAATTTTTAATCATTCATCATATATATATTATATATATTATATTATATATATATTATATTATATATATATTATATATATTATATTATATATATATATATATTATATTATATATATATTATATTAGGTGCAAAGCACCTAATATAATTTAGCTCTGAAAGCACATACCTAGTGATTTTTTTAATACAATCTCTTCTTTTCCAGAGTAAATGAGAATGAACACTATTATCTTGGCCTCAAAGAGAGATGAATAAAACTATTTAGTTTTACTAATACAGGCGTAATTTACTTTCCTGTCAAGCCAAACTCAATACTAAGAAAGTTACTACATAATTTGGTACATGTAAATATCGAGTAGCAGTGCCAGATTTTTTCCCCATGAGAACTTGTGTAGTATAATTATGAAAACTAACCCTAATACCCGTAAGAGTAAACAACAAACATTTTATAAAGGTAGAACCCCTTTGAACTCTTTCAAACACTTATATATAAGTGAACTGATTATTCTCACTTAGAATAATTTTGCTGCAGAAAATAGAGAAGGAGCTACTTAGAGAACTATGTGAATAAGAACTAACACCTGTGAGATAGGGTTATTTTTCATAAAGATGTCATCTTCCAAGCTTTAATAAGAATGTCTACACAGATAAATAAGAAAAATACATGGAAAATTTTCCATATAACTTATTTGACAAATAATTTCTAAAGAAAATAGGGTTGTTTTGTTTGTGAACCAAGATTATAAATCCATATAGACATACTCTATACCTCAGTAGGCAATTCCATAATTAAGGATATAATCTCTAATAACCATTTCATCTTACCTGATTTCATTCTTCATAAAAATTTAAATTCTCATAATGAGCACACAATAATCTACTTGTTTTCTATAAAGAACATGGTGTTAAATATATGAATACTCTGTGTCTAAGCATGTGTGAGAGAGACAGAAAGACCAAGATAGAGATAGGAAGAGAGAGAGAGGTTATATTCATGTGGGGTGAGAAATATCCTTATTTAGCTGGATGTAGTGGCACATGCCTGTAATTCCAGCTACAAAGGAGTCTGAGGCAGGAAGATCCCATGTTCAAGGTTACACTTGGCAATTTAGTGAGACTCTGTCACCAAAAAAAGAAAAAAATAAATAAATCAGGGGTCTGGGTGTAGCTCAATGTTAGAGTGTTTGCCTAGCACGTATAAGTTCCTAAGCTCAATCCCCAGGAAGAAAAGAAAGAAGAAAAGAGAAAGAGAAAGGAAAAAAGAAGGAAAGGAAAAGAAAGATCCTTATTAAAGGATCATGAAATGAACAAATAGCCAAGGAATCATAAGTTCTTTAACAGAAGGAATACATTTACTAGGAAATCGTCACTTAGGCATCTTATATGATTAGAGAACATATGGCACTACATAAATGGGGTCAAAAATCTTACCCATCAATTCTCTGATTGTTATGAATGTATAACATGTTTGCTAGGAAATAAGCATCATGGGCGGGCAGTTGACCCCAGTATAAGATCATACAGATTATTTGATATAATAACACTAGAGCAACTTGAGGTATCAAAATTATTTTTTTAATTATCAGCTATATGTGAAACAGAACAATCCTTTTGCTCATGTTTATCTTCACTTAGAGGATAAATTTTTAAAAATTATTTCCTAGTGTTAGAAAGCCCTACGATTATTCAAAGTGTAGTCCATGAATAAATAGCATTAGCATCTCCTAGTAACTTGTTATTAGAAATGTAGAAACTCAGGTCAAAATCCAGAATTACCAGGTAGGATCCTTCATTTTATCAAAATTCCCAAGAGATCTGTATCTATTTTAAAATTTAAGTTATAAGGGACCCCAAATTGGGAAGATGGAAGCTAAGGCCCTCTATCCTGACACCACAGTATCTTGCTATTGGATATTTGGCTTTATTGGGCCTTATTTCCTCAGTGATAAAATGAAGGGATTTAACTAAGTGGTTATCAAAAATATATTTTACCATGGAGGTTCTGGGAATTGATGCTCATCTTAATAGAATCTCTGTTAGAAACCTCTGATATCATTTCCTCTCAGTGCATTACCAGTTAGGGACAAGAGAACTCAAGAACTTCTAAAAACCATTTTTGTGAGCTGGGGATATAGCTCAGTGGTACAGTGCTTGCCTAGCATCTACAAGCCCCACCTCCCCACACAAAATAGTTATATTTTTATAAAATGGGCTGTGAAGACAATCTCAGAGGTAAAACTAATTGGAAATACCCTGGCAATTCAAGTGGCCAGCAAGAGAAGTCATCATGTAACTTTCACTGACATCCAGAGTTATAGCCAAATCAGCTGGAAGGAAGTGGAAACTGGGATAGTTTGTGCATAAGCCAACTGCACTGACTGCACAGAAAGCATATGCAAATGAAAACTCATCTGATCTACAGCTTGGATGAAATTCTACAGAATTACTTCTAAAAGGACAGGGAGACTGTCTGACTTCTGCTGTATTTCTATTAGTGTTATATGTTAAGCATTCAATCTATCACTTTCCTGGAAGTTATGAACTTGGTAAATTTAATCTGAGTTTAAAAATATACTTTGGCATAAGTCTCAGCAAGTCTCAAGGATTTTATTTTGTAGAATTTGAAGATCTGAGTAAGAATCAAATACCTGCTTTAACTTCAGAAATATCTATCATTTGTTTCATTCATCAGATCAGAAGATGGAAATCTTTTTAAAATTGTAATATTTGCTTTAAATAATCTTTGTCCTACATTTGTTTTTAATGGAATGAAGATTTAGTTTGTTTAAACTCATAGGAAGCTCTTCCAAGTAACCATCCCCACTTCCATCTCTCCTCTCCCCACTTCCACATTCTGAGTGAAGTTTCCTTGTATGGGGCTCGCACTGCACCCTGACCTGGATTCCTTACACTGTATTTACCTGTGTTGTGCTTATCTGTTTGGGAAATCAATGATCACATTTTGATCATTTCATATCTCTAATGCCTACCTCAATGCCTGGCTCACCAAGAGCTTTCACAAGATGTTTGTTAAACTGAACCTAAGATCAGAATACAATTTCCAATAGAGAACTATACAAAAAGAAACTTATAAGTAAACAGATTTGCCAAGTACAGGTCTATCTTGAACATCTCTTTTATTTTTATAATTTATGATAGACTGTCCTCTGTGGACTCCCCTCAAAGTTTTTAAATTGCATGTGTTCGAATCCCTGCAGACTTTCTTCCCAAAGCAAAACCTTTTAACTTTGTGTTTGTAAATTTGGAAAGAGTACATGGTTCTTTTAAGAGCAAGTTTATCATCTAAATTTAA